GCAGTGTTTCTCTCCTTTCCTTTCCTCTGCTCTCAACTCCTGATTCCAAAATCCTGGGAATGGCAGAGGCCGGTGGAAGGGCTGAAATGAACATCAGCCAAGATGGGGGACAACGGAGGCCTCTCTGGAGAGACTTTGGTCCACCTGACCCTCACCAAGCTCAGCCAAGCCAAGCCAGAAGCTTGGAAACAGAAGGTTCACCAAGAAGCAGAACTCTGAAACGGCCCCGGGTGCAGATCCAATCACCGTAAAACACGACGCAGCACAGAGGGCTTCTCTACCCTCCTCACACCCGGACAGCCGCACTCTGCAGCGTCGGGAGGTTGGTAGACGAAGCCGCAGTGTCCCCCTGAGTCCCCGCTGACCCCCCGGCCCCCCCCCCCCCCCCCCCCAGCCTCCATTGCACAGGTCTGCTGCCGATTCTCCTTCTCCCGGATCCCTGTGCCTGACCTGGGCCGGCGGCAGCACAGAGAGTGTGGGCCGCTCACGCTGTGCCTCACCCCAAGGCAGCCTCCTAACTAATCCAGGGAGACAGACCAGAGCAAAAATAAAAAAAATAAAAAAATAAAAAGAAAGAAAAAAAATAACGCTCCATCTCTGAGAGCCTTTATTTTTATTTATTTATTTACTTCTTTGGTTATCTATTTCTGATACGGTGTGGAAGCATCCTGAAAGGTCCAAGTGTCAACCTGAGGGAGGATCTGACGAAAACGAACCTTAGTGGCCCGCATGTGCACTCTACATGCCGCGTGGCAATGGCGACTGTCCCAGTCCGGCAGGGAGAGTCGTTGTCCCTTGGTAATTATGCGCATCCATTAGCATGGCATCCATTCTTTGTCAGAAGCGTTCGGGGACAGTCTCTGCAGAGAAACGCACAGCTCATGTGGTCTGCAGTTAGTCAGACGCCACAACGGACCTTCCCCTGGGAGATGCCGCCGATAACACCGTATGAAAGGCGGAGTCGCTTGGGTTTTGTTGGTGTTTGCTTGTTGGTGTTTTTAATCTCAGACGCCGGCACAGAGGCAGGGTGTTTGTGATAATTTTACTGACACCACCGACAAAAGCTTCACTCGTGAAGGAAAATTAAACGTTAAGGTTTCGTGGAAGATGACGGTGGGGTGGGGGCCGGTGAGCTGCAGAAGGTTGGGAGGGATGGGGAAGTGTCATTTCCTTTCCTTTAGGAAAGAAAAATACGGGGTGAGCCATAAACATAGCTTCATTCCCAAGCTGGCAATTCTTACACTTAATATGTTTTGTCAGGCAAGTCTTCAATACAGATTAAAATGAAATGCCAAGTAATTTCCACCTCTCGGCCGCTCATGTCTGCGAACAATGGAGAATGTTTTGATGAATGTCAGTTAATGGCACTTGTGCGCTTATAGATTTAGTCACAGCAGCAAGGACTAAGGAATGGGGGACAGGGTGGGGGGGGCTGTCTGTGTGTGGAGAGAGGAGGGACAGGGAAGATTCTTCCATAATCCCTTTCTGACTGATTCGGTTCATGACAACCCAAATTGAAAGTGAACCGAAGACAAAATCAGGCCAAGATAAGGTGACCCTTTGTTGTTAATGAGGCTCAAAGCATCAAAGATGATTTCCAGAGCTGAGTCGGCTCAGAGGAGGAGTTGTGTGCATTCCAGATGCTTCGTCAGGCAGATTCTGTTTCCGTGGGAAGGAAGGGGGCAGCCGCATTGCTGGGGCCAAGCCTCTGGTCCGGCTGACGTCTTTCCCGCAGGTCTCGACAGTTGCACCTGAGTCGGTCCCCTTCCTCCTCGGTCCTGTCCTGACAGAAACCAGACACCGCAGAACCCACAGGCTGAGCCCTGTTCTCTCATTTCTCCCTGCACGGCACTGCCCCTGCAGCTTTGCATCCTGAAGCCCCAGTGGGGGGTGAATTTGAAGAGCAGGACAAAAAGGAGCACCAGCGGAGTTCTGTCCCCCAGGGACTCAGGTCCTCATCTTCCTCACGAAGATCCTTTCTTCAGCTCGATTGGGAGGATTGGGTTTCACTACCTACCCCCTCATTGTTCAGAAGAGGAGCTTTAACTGAAGGTTGCTGGCTGGTTTTCTGGTTGTGTAGGTAACGACACTTCTTTCTGTCCAGCAGCGATTGTGAAGGAAGTGTCCCTGTTCAAAGTCCAGCGGGTTGAATTGGTTTTCCCTTCAAGGTAGCAGAGGCCAGCTGATTAACTCGACTTTGGTGCTTACGTGGTCTGTGCTTGTTTTGTTTTTGTTTTTGTTTTGAAATCACTGGTTACCAAATCTGGTAGTGCCCAACCAATCTTCTTAGACTCAGAAAGACACTCGCTGAATCAGATTCAGAATCTGATTCAGAAGGGAACTCGTGCGGGAATGCTTGGGACACGGGGGAACAAGATTCTCTTCCTGTGACCTAGGTGAGTCCCAAGGGCAAGGAAAATAAAACCAGATGTGTCAGGCTCAACCGTTTTCACGTGAGCCAGTAGTGTTTACATCCTGTGCGTGTCTGGATCGGACCCGCAATCAAACTCTGGCGGGGGGTGGGGGGTCACCTTTCCCATTTTACCCTGAAGAGACTGAGCCCACACGACTTTCCCAAGAGAGAGGAATCAAGCCTCCGCCTGACCCCAGGTCCCAGCTGTCTTACCAAAGCCTTATTTTTCAGAAAGTTTCCCAATATAACTCAGAATTGGGCTTACTTGCTAAGTCACTCTCACTATACTTATATAGTGGTGCTGAAAGTTTTAACCTTGTTTCCTTTGGGTCAGTAACTAGCCTGAAAGTGTCACACGTGATGTCCGAAAGCTGAGTCTACATAGAGGATTGCTTTGCCTGTAGGAAGCCTGTACTTTCTCGAGTGCATTTCAGAAGCAGTTAAGTTTTTAAATTCTTAGATAATCTGAAAGGCCCATTTTACTGCCAATTCCAGGCTTTTCAAAACCGAAGTTTAAGGAGGTGCTTCTAAAGCAGAAATAAAGGGAATGGCCCAAGTCGGTCTCCCTTCTGCATCCAGGGAATTTGGAAAAGCCGTGGAGAGTAGGCACGTTGCCAGTCGTCCAGAGAAGGAAGGGCGCAGCCTCCTGACAACGTGGGGGTCTGGAGGTCTGCGGCCAGAGCCCAGGTTCTTTCTCGTGCCTGACCCAGAGCCCCTTCTCCCTCCTCACCTCACCCCCCTCCAGGATCCAGAGGAATGCTTTGTTCTCTCCCCTCTCAGTCACCTGGGGCACATACAGATGTGGGGGAGCACTCAGGTGAGGCCACGTCTCCGTTTCCTCACACAAAAAACTGGGGCCATGATACCTTCCTCCCCAGGGGTCTTGGAGAGGTGCGGAGGGCGCCTGGACCACCCAGCAGTCAGGCTTGGGAAAAGGTGGCATTCCAGAAGCTGTGCCAGCTTGTCCAGACATCTCTGTCCCTCCTCAGCAGACCTGAAATCGGTCTGTTTTTTGATAACAGTTCACGATGTTTTGACATTGGGAGGGAAGAGAGAGGGGGGAGCGTATGGTGCTGGGAGGTGACTATCGAGGCCCGGGCTGCAAAAGACAGTTTGAGAGGAAATTCTGAAAAGCAGGACTATCAGGCCAGAGAACTCCAGGGCATTTCCTCAGGCTCATTCCTCTGAGACCCTTTCGTGATCAGAAGGACTCTATAATTCCACAATCAAAGTGAAATCCCCGGCAAAACACCAACATAGAACTGAGCACCTCAGTCAGCAAATTTTGCTTCCTAAAGAACAGTCTCCACAAGTGGAAAGCACTGGAGGTAACTAGGGAAGCAGAAAGAGGTGGGGTCTGGGAGCCCTGCCTCAGCCGAGACCCCACCTCCATGGGGTGGGCAGAGTGGCATCGGGTCCCCAAGGCCCAAGAGTGGGGAGAGCCCAGGAGGGACATTCCTCCAAAAGGATTGTAAGATTTTGCTGAATTATATTTTGATGAAAGCCTGAGAAATGTCCGCGAATGGATTCTAAGGGTGTTAGACTAAGGAGGGTAGAATAGAGAAATTCTGAATTTATGTGTTTTAGCTCAAGCAGTTGGAAGTGGCTCTAAAAGATTTCTTTGCTGACTGGCTGTAAGTTGGACTCAATGGTTCTATATTGAGTAAGGTTCTAGAACTTCCCTAGCATAATGCAGAAGGGAGGAACCAAAGGCTTAGGAAGGCTGGGAGGTTGGAGTAGACTTATCACGTGTGCCCCCCACACCCACTTCCTCACCATCCCCAGAGTAGGCTCAGGGGACACTCTGCTGAGGCCGTGAGAAATATGGTAGGGAGGCAGCACGCACTGCCTTGGAGAGCTGTGTGGTGGCCAGCTCTGTAGGCTAGGCATGCTGGTGGGGACCCTGCCCCTGATTTCAGTGGGGATGGTGGAGTCAGTGTGTGGCAGAAACGAAGGACAGCACTTAACCTCCAGGGACAAGGGCACAGTTACCTCATGCGCATCAGAGTGTTTTCTCAATATTGCCGTCCAGCTCTCCTACCAACATCAATTGTATAATGTTTCCTTTCTCCATTATTTTTCTGTGATCTGACAATAGAAACACCTGAACACCGTGTTGCCCACCTTGGCTATGAATCAACTGGATGCCTCTACTTTGACCCTTTTTAATTTTTCTTCCTAATGTTTGATATTGGAGAAAAACACTTCCAAGAACATAATGGGTTCGACCAACATGCTTATTATCCTTTGGCTTGATGAACTCTGAGTCCAGGGGCGTTATGTAGAAGGAAGGTTCCAAAGTGTACATCACTCCTCCAGGGCTCCCTAAGACAGAGCTCTGTAGGACCTCCCCACTGTGGCATTTGGGTTATTTCTGTGATCTTCAGGTGCATATTGATGAGTTGCCAATGATGGTGATGATGGTGATGATGATGGCCGTGAATATTTATTGAGCCTGTGGATTACCTCTTACTCCTTCTTAAAGCCAAGGAGGAGAAGTGTTATTCTAGTTCCTATTTTACCGATGAGGAAACCGTCAGCCAGTCGTTGGCAGTCTGTCTCATTGACCTTTACCCTTCCGTCCCAGGTATCCAGGCTCTCTGTGGGAGTCCCCTCTGAGCTGCAGCCACACTGCCCTCTACTCGATGAGTGCTCGGTGGTCAGACACTCAGATGCAACCACAAAAGGTGAGCAGTGTTTTACAGTTAAATGTACTTAGTCATTGGTGGGGGCCGAGGGGGGTGGATTTCGTAAATGGCAAAGCCTCACGTGGACATCTTGTCTTGGTCAATTATAATAATCCAGTTCCGTGTTCTTCGTGATGCAGCTGGGGCTTGGGATAGATGAGTGCGTGCCCCAGGGTCGTACAGCAGCAAGTGATGATAACCCTCACCTCTGACTCCAGGGCTCCCCCCTTATCTCCTACACCTCCATAAGCTGCCCATGGTTCTATAAGCTGGAAAAGGTAGTAGAGGTGGTGTTTGGAAATGTTTGCCAGCGGACGAGCTGCCATTTTTCATTACCCCTTCACCTTGCTGGTCTGAAACCATTGTAGGAGTAAAGGAAATAAAAAGCATTGAGTATGAAGCAAAATTTGCTTCAGAGTCAAGAGTGTTCACAAAGTACATCTAGCCCCTACCAGCCTGCAATTTTTGTAAAGATAAATAGGCTGCTCCCAGAAAAGTTTGCTTTAAGACCCACTATCTCAGTCTTCCCTACCGGCAACGTGAGGACAAACTGCAATCCATCATGGTGCTTTTGAGGACAAGGGGAGCAGAAGTCAGGGTGGATCTTTGACCGAGAAGACAAGCTTTGCAGAGGCTCTTCTCTTTCCAGGCCTTTCTCTTTGGCTTCCCTTGAAAGCCCTCCCCTCTCCTCCTCTGCCCCCAGACTGTTGCCTCTGAGAGTGAGGGGACGGAGGAATGGCATCAGCTAGGTTGTGGGCTCGGTGCTTTGTCTAAAGAGTGTTGTGTTGTCACCCTACCTGGTTTTTATTTTGTTGTCTTTCTAAGAATGAGAATTGGGGGTGAGGAGAGGAGGGAAGGAGGAGAGTGCCTGGGCCTTGAAACAGGAAACTCTTCATCCTCTTGCCATCCAGGCTTGAAAGACCCATCGAAGCATGCCTCTAGAAGCATCGCGTCAAATGAGAGCCAAGAGGCACTTGAAGGTGTTGTGATGTTAGCTGCCCCCTGTCAGTGTGTCTTAAAAAATACGCGAGTGCAGGGGAGAATTCCCTGCCAGTCGTGCCCGCCACCCCTCCCAAAATTTTCCAGCCCAGACGTAAGACAGCAAATGAATGATAAGGTGGGCCTCCTGTGGTGTAAAGAAAGCCAGCCCCCGTGAAATTCAGCTGAGTCCCAAGGGTACCTTTGCTAAGTCTGTAGTTGAGTGAGTATGAGGGTGACAATTTTCTGGAATTTTTTGTAGAATGAAGGAAGCTGGACGTCTCGTGTTGTGTCCAGAATAAGAATGGAGAAGCCCAGCAGTACCTACAGGTCAGCAGGATTCATTTTGTGCCTTCTGACGAGGCGTTCTGCATTGGCTGCAGCCTGGCTGTGGGCAAGACACATGATGTCCAATTTGGGGGCTCAAGAGTATTGTTATTCCCATGTTAGCGGTAAGCAGACTGAGGCACAGGGGCTCCCGGATGGCTCAGGTGGTTAAGCATCCGATTTCAGCTCAGGTCATGATCTCGCAGTTGGTGAGTTCGAGCCCCACGTTGGTCTCTGTGCTGACCGCTCAGAGCCTGGAGCCTGCTTCGAATTTTGTGTCTCCCTCTCCCTGTGCCCCTCCCCTGCTCACACACTGTCTCTCTCCTTCAAAAATAAACATCAAAAAAAAATTTTTTAGGGGGGGGTGCACCTGGGTGGCTCAGTTGACTTCCGCTCAGGTCGTGATCCCACGGTTCTTGGGTTCGAGCCCCGTGTTGGGCTCTGTGCTGACAGCTGAGAGGCTGGAGCCTGCATTGAATTCTGTCACTCTCTCTCTCTCTCTGCCCCTCCCCTGTTCATGCACTCACTCTCTCACTCTCTCTCTCAAAAATAAATAGACATTAAAAAAAAATTTTTTTTTAACTGAGGCACAGGGTGTGAAAGCATGTGGACATACGGCTGCTGGATGCAGCGAGGTCAGATGGGGCCACGGCTGTGAGGGTTGGGCTGCATCTTGTGTCCATGCTGACATCCACCTTTCCACGGCATCCACATCCACAGGGGCGGGGGCTCTTGATCTTTCCATGTCCTGGATGGACCTCTTCTCACAGTATCTTTAACTACGCGCATTAAGATACCTAGGGTTTCAGAAGTGCTTTATTTGAAGTTTCCGGGATATTTGTCTAAGTATTCCTCATTCGGTTTCATCCGTAAATCATTATACAAAGAATTTTTTTTAAATGGTGTTGCCAAGGAAGTTGCACGGACCCCCCTGAATTCTACCCTCTGCCTTGGTCCGTCCCACCTTCCTATTCCTCTGAGTAAGCCCCTACCCCAGGCGTGTGAGCCCCTTCACTTGCAAGAAAGCTGTCCCTGCCCCCAGGACTCAGAGGTGTGGCACCAGGGCCCAGAGTTCCACAGGAATTCTCAAATCCAGCTGATCTGAGGCTCCTCCCGGAGCTAACAGCGGTGGGTCCCTGAGCTACTCCGATAATGGCACACTACAAAAGCCATGCCAGTGATGTGCCTAGGCCTGGAATCTGGGGGCGTGGACCCTCCGGGAGGCGACTGCTCCCAGCCCCCGGAAGCTGTTAGCAGCCACAGAAAGATTCAGACTTGCGATTTGTCCTTCGATTTTGCTAGTGATCTCTAAACGGCGGCTGGCTGGTCTCCTAACAGACTGTGTGCATGACGCTGCAGCCGGCCATCACAGGTGGGCGAGCCCAGGTGTGCTGTGTGTGCCAGTATGTCCCCACCTGAGGGCTGCACGCAGGACGGGTGGTGACTCATCACTCTCCCAAGCCGGTTGCCGTTAGCTTCTCCGGAGCGTTTGGTGCTCGTGTACAGGTAGCTCGTTCCGTCCAGCAGAACCTCCCCTTGCTCCTGGGTTAAGCCGCCTTTCATGAAGACATTCTCTTCCTCCAAGACTGCGTGAGTTGCTGCATTTTCTCAGAGATGGTCTCTTGGGAGACGTCCTGGAGAGAAGAGAACGCAAAGCTGGTGTGACAGAGGCCAGGAATTGTGGGAGGGAGCAGGACTTCCCGAAACACGTAGGTCTCTGCTGAGGACCAGAACTGCCCAGCCAGGCCTTTGAAGCCTCAACGCGCCGGTCGGGGTTTTCAGACAACAGCTTCCATTTTTCCTTGAGAAAAAGCTGCTTGGTCAAGCTTCTCCAACATATGTTTTGTCCGGCAAGAAACATCGTCGCCTGCCACAGAAATGACAGGAGGCGAGACAGCAGGAGGGACACACAGGAGCGGAGAGCACCCACCTGCCCGAGGTGACAGGGCCGGCCCTCTGCACGGCCACCTCCGTCGGGGCCGGGGGTGCTCAGGCAGGCGGGCGGGGGGCCTCTGCCGGGTCCTGGGCCAGCGGCAGGACGGGGAGAGAGCTCAGCGACTCCGTGCACGCCTTGGCTCTGGTCACTGGGCGATGGGGCTTTGTGTTTGAGAGAAAACGGAGACAGGACCGGCTTGTTCGTTTATTAATAGGCGTTTGTCACACACCAGGTTAGGAAATAATCCCCCTATTGTCGTTGTGTCTTAATCCTCCTGTTGTCAATATGTCTTCGGGGCTTGCCGGGGAGGGAGGTCCTTTTTCAAAAGAAATCCCTTTTCAGAGATAAATGCAGATGGACTTCTCTTTATACAACGGGCATGGCCCGAAAATGAAATGTGCCGCGAACGTGGTCTTTAAGGTATGGAGGAAACTTCCTTTTAAGGAAGAAACTTCCTTCTTCTCTTGAAGTCACTCCTTAGGTGGTTTTTGTATCAGTAGAGGCTTCTGTGTAGAGGGATTCTTTAGAGCAAGGGTTTTCTGCCTTTTGCTTGGATCCTAAAATAGTTACAAGCCGCATCATTTAGGAAAGACAAGGAGCTGACAGCCCTTTTGGAAACTCTTAGTGTCTCAGGGAAGTCGCATCCACCTCTGCTGAATGCATGTGGACTTTCACCTCCCTGGATCACATCCTCTCACACCCCTCTGAGACAAACCTGGTAAATGAGATGACCCCAACTTAGAAAAAAAAAAAAAAAAATGCCAGCAGCCTTCAAGCATCTTCAAATTCAGTGAAGAATTACAAAAGCAGAGTCCCAAGAGCAAAGTCAAGAACAGGCCTCTTTAAATCATGTGATTGTCAGTTAAATCTTCTAGAGAAACCTGAGCAGTCTCTATCCCTCTGACAGGAAGTGAGTGCTGAGTACGTCCCTAGAGCCACCACAGATCCTGATGCAGCCAACTTTCACTTAGCTAAAAAGGAATGGCGGGGGGGGGGGGGGGGGG